AATCTCCTTGTCACAAAGTTCTTCTAAAACCAAAATCTTGAGGCGTCAAAATAGGACATCACATATCAACAGTTGATGTCACCGTAGCTAAATCCCTGTTTCACACTGTGTTCCAGACTAACACGACTGGATTTTTGCTATTTGTAGCCACTGAACTGGAGAATCTCTTCTTTGACATTTATTCACTACAGCACATTTAAATTTGGTCTGTGACATATGTGCAAGATTTGCAATGCAAAGATATTAAGATTTTGACTTTTGTGTTGAACACTGCTGCCATAATATTGCAGTAACATAAAAAATAAGTTGTTATAACATAAACGTTCCTATATATTCATTGCAACCATATATGATTGATAAGTCACGACCTAATCAAGCATATATGGAAACTACATGCTTCCAGTCCATGAAATTTCCATAGTGTGCTCTTACCATGATACATAGAGAACATCTAGTGCATGAGTCTAACAACAGATAGTGGACAATGGAAGTGATATATAACTCCTTTGTCTAATGCAAACCTGCAATAAAACCTCCTAAGAGCCTGGTCTTGCATAAAGGTGCACGGGCCCAATCATGCTTTACTTTACTGATGATTTACCTGACACCTTAGCAAGCACAATTTAGCAAGCACAATATGCAATTTAAACCACCTCCATGAACAAGAACGGCAATTTTATGCGAACCCAGAGAGCTGTGTTCAAGAAGGTAAATTCAATCATGATTTCAACATATTTTCTTTTCCAGTTTTCTAATTTTGAAATGTCGTTCCTCTGAAATTCCATCCCAACAAAATTATAGTGCTGAATACACTTTGAACAAGCTATAAACCATGAGGCTGGAAAATTGTCTTTCATTTAAACATTCAGTCGCTTTTTTTTTTTTTTTTTTTTTACAAGAAGACATTCTAAACCAGCCAACCAGGAAAGGCACACAATTTGTTTTATATTTTCCCTCTGTTGTCTGTTTGAGTGTCATCCACCTGGCAGACTCCTTCCACTCTAGCTCCTCTCCTTCTCTCTGTAGAGTGTCCATCTCAGTGAAGAGCGTTGGTGTCGGCATGTCATCGTCTTCACTTAGGATGTAACGTAGCCGCTCTGCCGCTGGAGACACTTGATGGAAGGAAAGGATGTTTTTGACATGATTAGAATTTGTATTTGCTTTAAAAGACCCGAGGATCTTGCAAAAAATTCACCTAAAACATGCAACCGTTGTTTTACAGATTTTTTTCTTTGTACCTTTGTTTTGTCTTCATTTCTTTACAGCAAAGTGACCATCCATAAAAACATGGCATCATTTACACAAGTAGAACCCTCCATATAGACTTGTTTTACAGTCAAGTTGCTGGTTTCAGCTAATACTTAATTACAATCTTTTCCATATTGTCAGTTTCTCTTCCACTGCAGCTACAATAGTGCATTTCCTTTGTACTTGAATCAAACACTGAAATTGACATTTCAATCTGTAAAGTGCAACCAAAGTTTTCACTTTAAATATTTTAATTGTCACCATATTTTGAGCATAATCATTCTGTTATTTTCATCTACTGTCCCAGCAGTAATGACTGTCATATTAAAGCCTGGCTCACTCAGTGCTGCCTGATTACAGTTAGTCATTCACAACTCTACTGTGCTTCCAATCCATTGTATCGTCGTATCTGCAGGGAGATTGAGCAGGACTCTGTGTTCATGCGTGGGGCTTTGGGGTAATGAGTTGCCAGCTGTGAATAGGGCTGCAAACCTATAGACTGTAATTAAAATCAACAAGCTTTGTCTTTTAAACTACCATTGATCAATATTATTGAAGTTTCTATTGATAACTACTACATTTCACTTAAATATCTTTCGCTAGTTTTTTTTTCTGAATGGCATGCGATTGTGAAATCAATACTGCAAAATCAAAGAATGCATTCTACCCTCCAACATTTGCTGTTTGATGTAGAGTACGACTTCCTTAATTCTAAGTAATGGACTACTATTTTCTCTCATTGTTTTGTTGTACGTCTTTGTTCATGTTCTTGTCCTCCAGCTGGCACCGAGTGCCACCATGTACAGAGGTGGCACGTGGATTCCAAAAGGCTGTGTTGATGTAAGCATACAATCAAAGCAAAGCAAACACCTCTGCTGCCTTTCCACTGATTTAAGAGAGTGGGCAACTTTCCTGGACAAAGTTTTGAAAGCCACAACAGCAGAGTTCTGCCAGACTACTTATTACTCAAACCTGAAAAAGAAGGTAGCCACTCTCAGGCTGTGTCTCAGACTCCTGATGTTCTTTGTTAAAAAATGCTGGGAGGAAGCAATATGAAAAGCTATTTTTAAATGTTCAAATAAAAGACAGCATTGTGCAGAAAAGGAGTTATATATATGAGACGTAACTAAAGCAATTTCTGAAAGAGCACATGAAATTGTGGATGATGAAAGGCTGAGAGAGCTGGAGGAGCAGACTGTTATTTCAGCAAAAAGGAGCACTCTGGCTTTTCAGGAGTGCTTCTCCTATTAAGCTGAGTCAACTTAAAAGATTAAAAAACAATGAAAACAAAAGAAAAAAAGGATTGCAACCTGACGACATTCAATTG